TGGCGGGCGCTGCGCAGCACCAGCGACACCAGCAGGTTCTTGTGCAGCTTGAGGCCGCCGCGCTGGCCGCGCGCGCTGTAGATCTTGCCCAGCGAAATGCTGACGATGCGGTGCGCCTCCAGCTTGAACTCCATGGAGCCCCGCGCGCCGCTACCCGCGCAGCCAACTGATCCAAGCCCACGCACCGGCCGCCGTATATACCGCCGCCGAGCCGGCCAATCAGGGCGCGCCGCCGGGCGCTCCGGCCAATGAGAAGGGAGGGAGCGGGTTCGAACGCAAGTCCCGCGGAGCGGGCTCTTAAAGGGGCAACGTCCAGCTGCGGCGCCGCACACGTGTGCGGGTAGGGGGCGCGCTGGCCCTGCTGCTCGGGTCTCAGCAGCTGCGGGCTGGGCCGCATCCTGGGCACTCCGGGGCGGTGGGGCACTGTGAGGGGCCGAGGCCAGGCTCACCCCGAGGCCTCTGCCCCGCAGGAGAAAGGCGGAAGAAACCTCTCTCTTAGCTGTGATCTTGCCTAATGCGTATACCGCGTGCCCAGCCAAGGAACCGGCCCCAGTTTCCAGCCTACCATCAGCCTGTCGCTTCCCCCCACCCCGTGATGGGGTCCCAAAGCTTCACTGTGCCCGGCTATCTGAACCTGGTGCCACAAGAGCTGTGCACCTCCAGCCTGCTCTCCCTAGACCAAAGCACAGGGAGCAGCTGGAAATGGAGGCTTAGCTAAGGTGGCAGAGTGGGCCAACAGCAGCCCAACAACAATGCCAGGCCAATGTGTCAGTGGAGTGTCTGGCTTTCAGCGAAGCTCCCTTGAAACCCCCAACCAAAATCTGATGCCTTGTCAGGTATCGGCCACAAAACCAGCCCTCTGCATGGTCCGAACATAGCGGTGCCCCTATCCTGCACTCAGGGTTGCTTGCCTAATACTTTCCACTGTTGCCCTCAGTTATTTATAGCTTTACAAACTAACTTTTAGGGCTGTGGTTTTCCACTCCCACTATTGGTCTCTTGGCTGACTGAGTTATTTTGGGGAGGGGGAAACTTTAGCCAAGGAGATTCAGCTATTTCTGCAAACAAGGTCAGGGAATACTTTTTCCCCTTATAAAAAACTCTTAGAGCAGAGTCACGAAGAAGACCCAGCATCACCATGTTTTGAAAGGAGAAACCTGAGATCTGGGATGAGAGCACCACTGCCTTCTCAGGGATGCGCCTTCTAGTATTTCACCGGACAAACAACCTAAATATAACCAAGTTCTACAACTCTGAAAAAAACTCTGTTTGTATGCGTTTGGGAGAGGCTTGTTAGGGGCATTTGGTAATTAAATTCCCATCAGAGTCCATCTGCCCAGAACATGCTGCAGCCCCTGGGCACTCATGTGGGTGACATGTCATATCCCCAGAGTCAACAAGTGTGCACCAACCCAGAGCTCCTGGGTGAAGAATAACTCCCTAGAAATTGTGCCTCCCAACTGCTGCTGTGGTGCCAGGCACTACAACCAATAGCAGAGTCACCATCTATGCTCTTGATGCTGCTCAGGGAACAAGGATAATAAGCTGCTTGACTCCAAAGCAGGGAAGAGCTGGGACCCATTTAGGGTACAGGCAAGACAGAGCCATCCTCTGGGAGTGGGGAAATACCAGCATAGAGAAAGAAGAGCAGAAGCAGGTTGCAGAGCAGGAA